GCTGATGGTAGCTGCAGTAGTGTAGGATGAGTATGCAAACTTATTAAGTAATTGGGTGGAATAGCCCTAAAGAATTCCAAGGAGAGGGAGCTTCAACAAATATCTGCTGATTTGAAGCCTTCGATGACAAGCGTCATAAATGAGACCCCTTCACTGAAACACTTGTAGTCTTACATTTTATTGATATGTTTTGAAGTTATCAATATCATGGGCAATGACAGAGTCTGCCGGTTGGGCTTTGTACCACTTGAAGAGATTCCCCTAAAAGTTTGTGTTTATGACACTAGTAAGTAAGTGCGGTAAATTCAAATAATGGCAGCCAATGTGCGTTCGTGCATGGCAACCAGTGTCGACCATTCTCATTCCTAGCTTCACATCACATGAAATTTTAACCGACATTTCCTTTGTTATTTAGATTCAACAGTCACTTCAGGAGGCAGCGATTAGGGATATCACCCGCATCGAGAGAATCGGTGCTCATTCACATATTCGTGGTCTCGGTTTAAACGATGAACTCGATGCACGGCAAGTCTCCCAGGGCATGGTCGGCCAATGCAAAGCTCGCCGCGCTGCCGGACTTATATTGGGAATGATAAAAGAAGGCAAAATTGCTGGTCGTGCTATTTTGCTTGCCGGACCGCCCGGAACGGGCAAGACTGCCATAGCTATGGGACTTGCCCAGGCTCTTGGTCGTGACACACCTTTCACTGCTATGGCTGGCAGTGAGATATATTCCCTAGAAATGGGTAAGACGGAGGCTCTCACTCAGGCATTCAGGAAATCAATCGGAGTGCGAATAAAGTAAGCTAGCTTGAAGACTTTAACACATTTCCTAGGGAAGAAGCAGAAATAATTGAAGGCGAAGTCGTCGAGATTATGATCGACCGTCCTGTTAGTGGAACTGGGGCTAAAGTTGGAAAACTTACGCTCAAGACCACTGAAATGGAAACTGTCTATGACCTGGGACAGAAGATGATTGACTGCATAGCAAAGGAGAAGATTCAGGCAGGGTATGGTCATTCAAAGTAAAGTTAATTTTACAGTGATGTCATAACTATCGACAAGCCCTCTGGTAAAATTACACGACTCGGACGCTCTTTTACGCGTGCAAGAGATTATGATGCCACAGGAATGCAAACTAAATTTGTCCAGTGCCCTGAAGGGGAACTTCAAAAACGGAAAGAAGTTGTCCACACTGTTACACTACATGAAATTGATGTTATCAACAGCAGAACTCAGGGTTTTCTTGCCTTGTTCAGTGGTGATACGGGCGAAATCAAGTCAGAAGTGAGAGATCAAATAAACTCAAAAGTTCTTGAGTGGCGGGAAGAGGGCAAGGCCGAAATAGTCCCTGGGGTAAGTTGTAATCGTTCGTGTCTCTCGATGTATTTTAACACGTTCCAGTTCTACTGTTATCCCAGCGTGGTTTTTTATGCTGGCTTTTGGTTCCTTATATTTTAGAATATGCGAACTCCAATCCTTACTTTTTGTTCGTTCATAAAAGCGCACGCCTTTAGCCGAAGTAGCAGAATTCTATCTCAAAATATATAGACGTCGGTAGATCGGATAAGCGAGGGTTGCCAGGCAATGAACTATGGGCCTATATCTGAGGAATGCTATGTGGAAAATGCAAAGACAGTGTGCTCATCTCCACTATGATGCTGCATGATGATGTGACGCCATCGCCAGTGATATCCTGTGGCTTTCCCCCACCCCCAATAACGCAGCATCTTATTTTGTTAGGAGTTGCGTACAGACCATCGCGTCCTTTATTTAATCATTTTCGAGATTTAATGGTCTAGAACTTAGTTGTGAGGTTAATCAACTCGAACCACCTTCGTAATCAAACTCCGCCGATCACTTCGGTAACATA